AAAAAGAAAAAAAAAAAAGGGCTGCAGGGGGACAGGCGCGTACTGAGCTGGGCCAGCTATGTATATATAAAAATATTAATAAAGAAAGTGACACATCAAAGAGAAATGAGAGGATCAGACAATAGGTGCAACATCACACTCAACATCCCAATTAAATGCAATCCCAAATTGTAATAATAATAAAAATAATAATAATGTGAGTATTTAGCAGTTAAAAAAAGTTTCAAGAATTGCTGTAAATTGTTCTGTCCTGAATTGTTTTTAAGGAAAGGTTGAATACTACTTTGTTGTTGACGTATAACCAACTACTACTGTTTTTCTTTTTCTTTTTAATTATTTTTTTGTTTTTAATTAATAATTATTTATTTTCAATTTGTTTTTCCAGTCTGCACAACTCCTCCACCAAATATTCCTGAATTTTACCATTTTTGGCTGTTGCAATTAAGGGCCAGAATTCAAGATTTTCCATTTAAAGCAACTGCTGATAGTTGGACCAAAACCCTTTATCATTAATGTACCAGACAATTTTTTCATTATTCTCTTTTCGTTAAATTACGGCCACCTCCCTGAGGTAAGGTCAAATTACAAAAAAAATCCCACATGTTTGGGTAATTACAACTACCATCCTCAACTATGAATCTTCTTACACGTTCACCCTTATGGTGTCAAATTCAACATAATCTTCTAGATTCCGTGGAATGTTGTCTAGTTTGTACTCGTTTTGTGCTATAACACAGTTTTTTATGCACCATAATCTCATACTTACAAGCCAAGAGACACACATCTTATGATCATCTTGTTTCAAAATGTGGAGCTGAAATGGGGTAAAAACGGGTACAAACTGGAGAATATTCGACATAATCTAGAAGATTCCACTAAATTCGACACTGCAAGGGTGGACGTGTAAGAAAATTCATAATCGATATGTGTTTGTAATTACTCAAACATGAAGAATTTTTTCGTAATTTAATATTACCTAAGGGGTCGCCATAATTTACCCTAATTATATATATATATATATATATATATATATATATATATATATACTCCCACTAGTTTTCATCATTCAGTCATTACATGCATCTACTGTAAGAAAAATCAACAGTGGAAGCAAAAAATATTCGAAAATCTCTTACCAAAAAGCAAAAGAGATTTGATCAAAGATATGATCAAGTGTGCAAAGACACAGGGAGTGATTTAAATTCAAAAGGATTTGATTTGATACTAATAATATTCCTTTTTCTGGTGTAAGAACACTGCTTCACTTTGGTCAAACGTTGGATGAAAGTTTACCCAACATACTGAGAGCACATGTGAAAAAAGTAATTTAAAAAAAAAAAAGATTATTAAAAAAAAATAAAAATATTACCACAAATCCAGTTGATATATATACATTATACAGTATAACTTCAAGCAATGAAAAGAACACTGAATTATGTATTTCAGCAAGTTTTTCAACTAACCTACTCCTATAGTATTAAAAATCAAAATACATGTTGACAACAAATACAAAAATTTACGCATTTGAATTAACTCCACACCGGAAATGGAAATCGAAAAGTAAAGTAAATCAAGACACATACTTGTGTCTCTCTCTTTCCTCAGCCTGCGAAACCGAAGCCTTCTCCGAGTGAAATTGAACTTCAACAATATCTGTACTTGCCTTTCTTTTCATTTTCTTTTTGGGTAATGCATCCGTTGCCACGTCAGCATCAACGGGGTTATTATTGCTATTGGGGCTCCGTTTTGCTTTTTCTTGCTTTGGTTTGTCCGTGTTGGGCACATTGGCTGAGGGCAGAGGAACTCGAGTAGCACTCTGAACTGGCTTGCTCGGCAATGTTGAAGCGTCTTTCTCGTGAATGTGAAGTGCTGGATTGACATTAATGACTTCCTTTTTAATCGTATCCTCTGTTTTTTGTGCCAACAACTTCTTGTTCTTCATTTTCTCTTCATCCTAAGCAAAAAAAAAAAAACGAAAGAGGTTTGGTTTAAATAGAAGATAACCAAAGCAAGGAAGTATATACAAACAGGAATCGATACCTTGCGTCGACCAGATAATGCCCTCCTTCTGTCTTTGGCTTTAGATATTGCTCGTTTAATTCCATCAGTATCCATGGCTCCACTAGGCCACAGTGCTGCAAGCTGCATCAAGAAACGCCAAACATCACAATTTGAATTTAATGGCATTTGACAAGCCACGTCAGCTACTAATTCTCTAAATAACACTGTTTGTATGCCCTCGTATAAAACTCAGAACACATCATCATCATCTAACTGCAAAAGGATTATTTTAGTATAAGATCTCAAACTAAAATGTGTGAGATTTTCAGTAAAACGCAAGTGCTCGGGAAATAACCCCGTCCTTCCAAACTCGAGGAATCAACAGCTTCCATGTGAAAAGCTGGTACACATCCTCATACATGGACCGGGCAAAATGTCGGTTCAAACATTTAAATTAATTGCTTGAGAAATAACTGGTCGAAAAAATGTGTGTAGAAATGCAGGGCACGATCCATGAATTAATGCATGTATTTCCCCCAATTACATGAATAATAGACATGTTCTAGTTTAAACATTTACGCCAATCAGATGAAGATTACCTCTTCGTACAGCTTTCTGACTGGTGGGCCTGAATCTTCATCTAGTCTCTGAAATAAAATTAAAATTATAAATAAATAAAAATCGCAAATTGTATAGGTTGAGGGGGTCACCCTAATACCGAAATTTGATATATTACCTCAACATATAGGTCATATAAGTCGCAAATTTTATTCTCCAATGCATCATCAATGCTATATTTTCGTTTCAAGGCCCCTTTTTCTTCTGGGCCAGCTTCTTCAAAATCGTCTGTATTTGTAGTTTGTTGCTCAACCTGCAAAGTGCATCAAGTATTGGTAACCAATTAGAGCTTAAACTATTGGTAAATTAAGGGTAGTACCCCAAAAGGAAAAGACATTTCGTAAGAAAATTTTGTTTGCTTTCATTAATGGTTAAAATGGAAAACTGTTACGGATCCAACCAACAACAAATCAACCCCAACCACTGGAAATAGAATTCATACAAAATTCAAAGGCGTACTTTGGATTTCATGTGTTGAACCCGCTGCCTAACCATCTCGACAACTTCTTGTTTTATCTTCTGCAGCCGATCATCCTTCTCTTGCTTAGCTGACAATCCCAAAGTAGCCATAACTTTGATATTTCTCTGGCAAAAAACACACTTGGTTAGCTAGGAAAAATAAATTTACCACATTTACAATTGTGATGCATAAATGGCTCAACTGCTGCGACAGATAAGCAAGCTAAAAGAAAGGTGGCGATGTGTAAGGTGTTTGAAGGTAATTCCCATATCCAAATTACCACCAATTATACCAGTCCCCCATCTACCCACCCCCATATAAGGCACCATGAAACAAAAACCAAACAAACAAGTAAAAGAACTAATTTCAAATTATAGAAAAAAAAAAAAAGGAGGCTAAAGCAGGTAAAATGCACTAGGTTGTGAAATTTATTGGATGGGCATCTTTGTACATAAGCAACAAAGAATTTTCCATTGCCACATTCATTTTGAAATGGGCAGTAATAAATATACTATCAGGGGTTAAAGAGTAAAAGTAAAATAATTTTCTAACTTTCATAGTAAAATAATTTTCTAACTTTCATAGGTAATTAGAATGGTTTTGAAGATAATAGATATTGAGTAATAACAGCCATCTTTCCCCCACTGAACTCAATGTTCTCTTTTATTTCAGAAGACAAAAAAATGATCGCGAGAAAATCCTATTCTTGACTGTAATGCCAATTGTTTCTAACAATCACAACATAGGCATCCCAATTTGCTTCAAGATTTACTTCATAACATCCCGATTTATCTTCCAGGGAGATGTTTAGATTTGTTAAAACAGTTAGCACCAATCAAATACTGGAGTACCTTAAGTGTCCTTAATTGCATCAGGTGGCCAACAATGCTCATCAGACGATCTATCACATCCATTGGAATTTTTCCATAGACGGCTTGCTGCAATTCATCCAAAAAAAAAGTTCAAAAAAAAATATACGCACAGATCCATAAGAACCATAAAGGTTGTCTAATGTACTAGGACACAGATGAACTGATACAATTTTATCAGCTCTTCATTACCGCTAATCTAGCAACTTTAGCCAGCTTCTGCTTTATTTCTGGTGGCAATCTTCTTTTGACTGACTGAGAACTATCTGCATCCTGGACCTCTGTTGAAGGCGGTCTAGCTGTTATACATTAAACACACACAATATAAAAGTAAATAATCACGGCACTTGTTATGGCATAAGAAGAAAGAAAACTACAATTGTAATAGTAGTCAAATACATTCAGCAACTATCTTCTCTAACTCTCTAATGGCCTTGTCCAGCATTGTGGTTTTGGGCCTAACACTAGATCCTTCTTTCTTCGGCACGAGGGGAACCTTCTGAACAAAATGATAAATAAAGACCTCATTAGGGACAATAATAATGGATTGATAGCAGAAAGAAAAGGACAGCAACTAAGTACTTTGAAGATCTAAGTTTTCGATTTACAAATTTGAAATATAAATTTGACAGCTAGCATATGTATAGCAGGCTACAACATAATGCATGTGAACGAGTTCATGAACTCCTTACCAATATTTTTGCCCCTCATATATTAGAAATTTCTCACCAACTCGTAGACCATAGAACGTTTACACCATTCAGTGTTTTAATGAAAAAAAGGTGGCAACTGAAACACCATAATAATACCTTGAATTATGGAGAAGACAACACATTCGACAACTACTAGATTTTTTTTTACGATCATGGTTATCGAAAGAACCATGTCTTATCTACGAGAAATCCAAACTCTGGCATGCCAGTCCATCATCAAATGCTTTGCAATACCATAACAAACCATGTCAGACTGGTTGTGGAAAATTTATTTGACAAACTTACAAGGTCTAATGTCACTATTGAATGACAACATGATCTCAAAAACATTTCGCATAAACTAGATCACCTTAAGAACAACTGCAGCGTATACAAAAAAAATTACTCACTGTTGTTTGCGAGGAGTCCCTGCTTGCAGGAACATTAAGATCGAATCTTTCAACGAGTCCACTTTTTTCCTTTCTTTGAGTAGCAAGATCCAGCTCGCCGGCATTATTTACTTGTTTTCCCGAGTGAGATTTGCTTACGTGCGAGCTTTTATCATTTGACCTCTGACCGGAAGTTTCTTGAGGTTCACTACTTTCTTTCAGTTTGTGATTATGGCTTTGTGAATCCTTATCCTGCCGGACACCATCAGCTTTTGACAGTGCCAAAGGATCCATTGTAATTTGTGAATCTGCATTTTTCTTTTTTAACGAAACTTCAGCAGCATCCGAACTTTGTACACTTGCCGCAGCCACTCTGAGCGACTGACTAGTTGAATTTCTTTCAAACGAGGATGTTGCTTTTCTACCTTTGTTCTCTATTTTCAGGTGTTTATTTGGAGTATGTGAATCATCATCCCCACCTTGACCTTTTGCGACATCTTTACGTCTCCTTTTCTTTGGCTGCTGGTGTGTGGGTATGGCAGTTTCACTGCAAAAAAAGTAAACCATTAGAAGGACCAAACAAATAGAGTCAACTGATCCAAATAGAAAACAGAACAACACAAAGTTACCCCCAAAACTGACAACTCCAGACTTTTAAGCACATGAATAAAGTTGGGCGACTGGTTTTAAATTGATATGTTCGTGCATAAAAAGGTTCCGACAAACACCATAAATTATTTTAACTAGATTTTTATATATCCTAGTCGAACTGAAATGAAATCAATAAAGTTCGTAAGTACATACTGGTGTAGAATCTTAACAGTAATCTCTATAAAAAAAAAATATCGTGCCAAAGTGAAACAGGACTCACACTCGCTCCAACTTCCCACGATTAACGAAAAAACCATCATGCTTTATTTCCGAGTTATCAACCTGGAAATAATCGTCCTGCACATATAAAACAATTAAAATAACGAAAAAATAAAATTTAAAATTATGCACTGCAGTGCAGCGAATTGATGAAAGAACAATGCCCACCAACTCAGCATCGTCAATGAAAGAATCTTCTGTATCATACTCATCATCATCAGGCACGTCATCTAGAATAACATCTTCTTCTTCGCTACTTCCATCACCCTTCACATATATATATTGTAACAAAAAATAGTCAATATTTCATCACATCAGAGATCACTAGATTTACCAATGTAAGCCTTTTTTTTTGCAGTGAATCTATCAAATATATATATAGCCCCTATCAAAAATGTTATGGAAAAACTCAATCCACTAAAACAACTGAAAAAACATCAAATTCAGCATCTAACCAAACACATACCGCGTACATTCGTTCGATTCTCTCAATCACAGTACTCAAACGGTTGGGCTGAGCTAGCGGATCATTCACTTCATCTTCCGCCGGTTTCTTCGACACCGCCGCCGCCGCCGCAGGAGGCGGAAGCTGGGGCTGAGAAACCGGCTGCTGACGGATTTCCGTAGGTGGGCGAGAAATCGACGGGCCAGGCGCATTGGGCTTATTCGAAGTGGCCTCTTTCAGAAGCTTTCTCCAGGAAACAATAGTCGTTTCTCCGGGCCGGAGCTCCACCGTAAATCGAAGACGGTCACCGGATGATTCGTATGAGGACGAGGGTTTTGACCCGGAATCCGGTACCGGACCGCCACCTGCACCGGTTTCTACCATTAATCGGTGACTTGGTAAAGAGAGGGGAAACCCTAGAGTGTAGTTGATCGGAAAGTGAGAGGGAAAAGGGGGATTTTTTTTTTAATTATTTTTTTTAATTTATTTTTTTCTTAATTGCCGTCTCTTTCTTTTGCCGGATTTGTAACGGCCGTAGATTGGTACAGATGAAGTAAGAAAATGTGGAAAGTACACAGATCTTCACTAAATTACACTTTCACCCCCAAATTCTTTTTTTATGTTTCTCCAAATTTTGCATTTTCTACCTCGTTTATTTTTCTATCTTCAATTCCTAACCCAAAAATAATACTTTAAATCAAAAAATTCGCCGCTGTTAAAACCCTCCCGCATCACCTGGTTAGGGTTTTCTTTCCTGCACCATTTCACCGGACTCAGTAGAGAGAGAGAGAGAGAGAGAGAATGTGGACGCGATTAGTAAGAAGTGCTTTGATCCGCCGGCGTGCGGCGTTGCCGGCATCGCGTCCGCCGATCCTTCATCGTCAGATACCCCACCGCGAAACAGTAAGCCTATTACTACCATTTACTGAATCTGCATCTCGCTTCTCGCATTTCTCTGCAATTTCCGATTTCCACCAAAACACGAGACTTTTCTCATCGGACACAGCTGAAATTCACGAGGAACCACCCTCCGAACCCCTAATTTCAGAGGCTAATGAAATCACTGGTGATTCTGATTTTGGTGCAATGAACGCGTTTGATGAAAATGCAAAATCTGAACTTGAAGATAAGGATTTTTCGTCCGAAAGCACTGTAGACTATTCAAAGACGTTAGGGGTCTTGATGAAGATGACGGTGTTGGGCAAGTAAAGGAGAATGATCCGGAGAAGGTGGAGACTCTATTGTCTTTGCTTCAGAGTAGCGGTACGGCCAACGGGTCTTTGGAATCTGATTTCGAAGGAATGAATTTGGGTTTGAACGACGATCTCGTGTTGAAGGTGCTCGAAACCCAATATATACCAGGGGAAAATTTGATCTGTTTCTTCAGTTGGATTTTGAAGAAACCAGAGTTTAAGTTGACCACAGTGGTGCTTGATGCGCTAGTTAGTGCTATATGCACTGAAAACAGGAGAACAGAAGCATATGCATTGTGGGATTTGGTAAACGAGGTGGGGGATAAGGAGAATGGGTTGGTGAGCACAAAGAGTTTAAATTCATTAATCGAAGTGTTTTCGAGGTTAGGAAAAGCGAAGGCAGCATTTGATGTGCTCAATAAGTTTGAGGAACTCGGATGTGTTCCGAATGCTGATACGTATTATTCAACACTTGAAGTGCTTTGCAAGAGGTCCTTTTACACCTGGGCTTGCTCTGTTTGTGAGAAGATGCTGAGTGCAGATAAATTGCCCGATGCCGAGAGAGTTGGGAAGATAATTTCCTCCTTGTGCAAAGGAGGCATGACGAAAGATGCGCACTTGGTTTATCTGTATGCAAAGGACAAGAAAATTTGTCCTCCTCAATCGTCAATCGACTTCTTGATCGGCTCTCTTTCTCGAATTGAGAGAGCTGGTAAGGGTTCTGAAAAGGAAATAGATAAGGAACTCGATAAACAGAACGTTTCCTCGGCCTTAGAGATGTTGAATGATTATCCAGCAGAGAAACGGAAGTATGCAATTAAGCCCTTCTCAAGTGTCATCAATAAAATGTGCTGGATTGAAGATGTGGAGGGGGCCAAAAAGTTGCTTCTAAAGATGGTTGAATCTGGCCCACATCCTGGAAATGCTGTATTCAACTGCGTAATTAACGGGCTTGCTAAAGCTGGTGATATCAAGGAGTCACTGTATCTGATGAAAGTGATGAAGAGCAGAGGCTTAAAACCTGATGTGTATACCTATAGTGTGATTATGAGTAGCTATGCCAGGGGCGGTGAAATGGAAAAGGCGTGCAAGATATTCGCTGAGGCCAAAAAGAATCACTCGAAACTAACCACGGTTACATACCATACACTCATTCGTGGGTTCTGCAAACTCGAGCAATTCGACAAGGCTGTGGATCTGTTGAGGGAGATGAAGAAGCATGGTGTTCATCCCAATCACGACGAGTACAATAAAATGATCAAATCTCTTTGCTTAAAGGCTTTAGATTGGGAAACTGCTGCCAAGTTGGAGAAGAAAATGAGAAAGAATGGCTTGATTCTTAATGGCAGAACGAGGGCTCTCATTAGTGCTGTTAAGGAGTTGGACGAAGGGGTAAGCTCTGAAATATCTGTTCCTGAAATATCTGTTCCTGAGTAATTGCACAACCGAAGTCTCTTCTTTTCCGGTTCTCGTTATTATTTTTCTTGAGAGCAACTTTTTGGCGATAATATGCACTTTTAGGATGCACTGATGTGTTTCAGTTAGATGTTGTAGCCTTCAGTCATTGTGTTTTATTTGGTCAATAAATAGAGGTTCATAACAATTCGATAAGAAGTTTGCCTTGAAAATGTTAATCCAAGCTCTTATGGACATTTTCTTTAAAAATTATGAGGTTGTACTTTTGTTTGTTACTCTCAGTTTCTAAAAATCGCACTTGATTCACTTTTTCTTCTGTTTACAAGTTTCTTTCTCGATATAGTATAATCGTTACATACTGACTGTATAGTGTGTACTAAAAGTTTCTTTACCAGAACTAGTTCGGATATGAAATTGCTGTACATCGAAGCTAGATTTCAATCGATTATGTACTTTAGTAACTAAACTTTTGAAGTTCAGTGAATAATCTCAACTGGTGAAAACTTTGAACGAACAATGAATGATCTCTAACTCGTAGTTCTGCACATAACACCATTTCAACGAATCCGACAAAAGCTAAGCACATTCGGCTTCAGTCCAGAGAATAGTTAAAAGTATAGCAGCTTCCGGGAATTTTAGCTACTTGTATTCAACTGATTCCCTGATTTTATATACGACTGATTCCCTGATTTTGTATGCAAAGGGCATATTCGAAAATTAGAGAGAGAGAGAGAGAGAGAGAGAGAGAGAGAGAGAGAGAGAGAGAGAGAGAGAGAGAGAGAGAGAGAGAGAGAGAGAGAGAGAGAGAGAGAGAGAGAGAGATCGAATAAAATCAACCAATCTGTAACAAGTACACCTGCATTCCAAATTCAACTCATCTGAACATATAATCAAAGAGAAAATTTATACCGGTATGTTGACTGTTGAGTTTTGTGTGGAAAAAATGTGTGTGCATGAGGTCTCACGACTCTCATCCTTCTATATCCTCAATAAACGGAAAAAAGCTGTGATAATCATTTACCGAAAAGAAAAAAAAAACACTTTATCCCTACCCTACGGCCGAGGGCAAGCGAATGCATTTGCATTCACCTAAAACTATTTTCAAGAACTCGTGCAATCCCATTTAATCAATCCACTACAAAATTCGCACTGCTGCCTTGATAAAGCCAATATTCCGCGAGCCAACATAATACCACTTTTTAAGTCCACAGACGAAATTTTTCATAGCCTTATCATGTGCATATGAACTCAGAACAAGATCTATACCGTTGATCTTAATCATCAGGGTCCATTTCTTCATCCTGCTCCGAAGAAGGTATTGTGTCAGCTTGGCTATTTTCATCTGAATCCAATAACTCTGTTTCAGTTTCATCTTCTTGCGTTTCAGTGTCATCGTCACTGCTCTCTTGTGATCCAACCGTTTTCAAACCTAGTTCCAACCCTAGAGGACACTCGTTTTGTTCTCCGTAAATAATTTGAAGTCCACTGCCCTTTTGTATATCGGCACTTTTGACAGTTGTGCACGAACATTCAGGTAAGGGATGAGAGAGAAACGACTTTGGTTTTAATTGACGAAACCCATGCAGAATGCCATCCTCTGACATGCTTTTGTTGAGGTGTTCTCTTACCTTGAGAGTCCAATTTCGTGGAGGATGGTACAGATGTTCACTGGTACTGTTCAACAGTTCAGTAAGATATTTCCTGCGTAAATGAACAAGAGTACGAATTATTTAGGGAGGCAAAACACCTAGTGCGATAGAAAATGCTGAAATTTACCGATACCGTTACGACATTAAATGTGATTTTAACATATTTTCAGTACCAGTTTGGCAAAAGTCAAACCATCGAAGTTGTAGTTCTTTGAGTTAGCTTTCTAATACAACTTGAATCAACTCGATTGGATGTCGGGTGAGAGAGTTATGCATGATCGAGTTACAGTCAAAACTTATAACATCAAATTGTTGCCAATGTTCGTTATTCATGCATATCTTTCTCAGCCGACATCCAATCTAGTTGACTCAAGTTGGATTAAAAAGCCAACTACTCAAAAAACTACAACTTTGGTGTTTGACTTTTATCAAATTCGGACTGAAAGATTGTCAAAATCACATTTAAAGTAGCAACGACACTGGTAAAACTGAAACGCCATTTAACACCTCCCTAGAAAATAACACTGGATTTGCAGATAATCACATTCTTTTACCTGTTAGGTCTATATGTTCTACTCGAGGCCATTTTGTACAACCGATGCCCCATTACTAAACTGGAAAAATCAGGCCATCCACTAAGATCGTTGTCAAAACCAGGGAAGAAAGCATCAGCTTCCAAAGAAACAATGTAGTCAAGAGCATCCCAAAGCAAACGGTGTGCTTTGTCTCTAAAATCATTCGGCGAAGGGTCCGGTTCTGAATCTTTTTCTGCAATCCATCCATACCAGCCTTCTTTTTCGTGTCTATAAATAGGTCGGTCAGGTGGTGGAGGAAGAGGCCTAGGGCGAGGACCAGCTTTGTCCCATTCTTCTTTTAGTTGTTTTGCACTCTTTGTCGGCGGGAACTCGAAAGAATCTGCAGGAAATTGGGTTTCGGGGCCAATAATATTGGCCAGCTCGTGTTTACTGCACAAAGAAGTACGATCCACTAAGTTGGCGTACATGGCTCGTAAAGGAATCAATACCCTTTGACCACCAAAGGCTTCGGAACCTGCTAAATATATTCTTGTTCTTGGAGGGTAACCCAAGGCTCGAAGGAGAAGTCCAACCTACAGTTTTTACGAGGAAAAAAAAAAGCATAATTTTTTTGGTTCAACTATAAATATATGCTAATGAATGTCCTATAGCAACCACTATTACTAAATCTCAATATTCACAGCCATTTTCATTCCACCAGCTTTTTGTTTCAGTTATTAACTCGTTTTTTGTTCTTTCATTTACATCTCTGCATAATTTAGTAATACTCACAAAGATTAAAGTAAGGAAATGAGGTTATACAGCAACCAAGAGTAAACTTCAGTCAAATCTAAAGATAATAACTGGGATCCAACATTAAGAGATACTATTACAGCACTGCACACTGATCCTCTAATAACAAAAGAAAGGAGAGAGATTAATACCTCTTCTGGCATTAATGGACATGAACCATTTGCTTTCCGAGTATATGAATCCACAATTAGTTGTTCTTTTATTACTCCTCGTTTAATCATCTGTGCTCGACGGTATTGTATGAGTTCCGTGTGTACATCCTACTCAAACGGGATTAAATTCCAGGAGTCAGCATCCAACTCATAAACTTAATACTTGGTATTGTTAATACAAAATTGATTCGATAATTTTATCTAATGGAAAAGGCTAAAACGAGCTTTGCAAAAGTCAAAGCAAACAGTGAAATGTATCTTATATTTCACATAGCATATTATATATGAGTTCCGCAATTACATCACGCTCTCTGAAAGATAACTACAACATACAAATTTACAAAATGTAGGTTAACTTTTAAAAAAATCTGGTAGTATCCTCGATTACAAAACCAAATTAAGAAGAATATTGAGAAAAACAAAATCATGGATAGTGAAAACTAAAATTAAGATTCATTGCTTACCTGAAAGAGTTCAGCACAGCCATGATATGCTAGGGTATCCCTCTTCAACCCTGGATGGTAAGCAAGATATGGTTGACCAGAACCTCGTAACCTGTAGAATGATATATAAAATTCTAAGATCATGACCTTTCTGATTTTCACTATTCAAATACATATACTGAAAGTCTGAAACAGATGATGCTGTATTTGCACAAAAACTACGTGAGAAGCAAGGGAAATTTTCCTTTAAAACTCACAACTACACAGGAGGAACCTAAAGAAGTTCTTTCCTTTTTTGCTTTTACTACGATTATTACAGGCAAGGCATTTCATGGAATTTAAAATAAGACCCTATGTCTTCTTTAATACCTAGAGCATAAAAATTCTGACGTGCGGGAAGACAAAGGGAGATGAAATAAGGGATCAACTTCAAAAGAAAATAGCTACAGTTTACTGCATAATCAGGTCGGATGCAAAAAGCGCATCAGGCAATGGGTGTTTTTATTCTATTCACTAAGAGTAGGATGAATGACATATTCTACAGTTTCTCAGTGTAAATATCAAGTTCTTTAGCAACTTAGTACTTGTGAGATATGAAAAGAGGATTTCTCCGCCCTTACTCAATCTATCACAATCAAGAACTGTACAGAAAGTGCTAAAATCAATCAAGTCACTTGCCTTTCTACCATTTGATGTGCAACTCTAACAATTTCTGCACGGAAATGCAATGCGTGAAATGCGACCCGACATCTGAGCCTCTGGTACTCAACCAAGCTTGCGGGAAGGATGGACTGCAAAAGAAAGGGAGAACATAGCAATACAATCATGGTGAGAAAAAGTACAATATAAAAGACAATCACCAAATAATTGGAAAATTAACATATCATGCCAGCTTAATTGTTCTCTATAGAGGTGTCCCACTAATGATAGCTTTATTTTGATAGCTTATTTCGTCCATTAACCTTATGCTGGTTTTCTATTATGAATTATCTTACAAAGTGACACTACTATCGAAGTATTGCACAGATAACTTTGGTTAATGAAGACAATGTGACAAATCAATTTCTCATTGTCATTTTTGACTTTATTGGTTTCCTGTGGTCTAAGTTTTTTGCAACCAGTTATTGGAGATACAATCTCCATAGTCAATGTGTACCTATAATGTTGCTATATACGATTCACAAAAAAACAAGACAGAGAGAGGAATACCAAAAAAGGAATATATATGTATATGTGTGTGTGTGTGTGTGTGTGTGTGTGTGTGTACCTCTAAGCATCCTGCATCCGTAAGTATTAAGCCAATGACCTTTGCACTCTTCAGTTTTGGTAAAACGTCATTCAAATAAAAATTGGGAGAAGAAGAACTTTTGGGTCTGAAAATGGGATATTGTTTCTTTATCCTGCCTTCTTTTAAGTTTGGTGGCAGGCTCTTTACAACGATCACGTCACTAGCTAAGCCCGCTATGAATAGATCTTCATCATAAAGATATGAAAAACTCTTGAACTTGGAACTGCAATGCATTCAATGAAATTGAGTTTTATAAATGACAACTGGGAGTGACTTGTCATCTTTTTCTAAATAAATGTTAACAAAAACCTGATGCCTTTTGATTGAGTACTTTCTTGAATCTCAGGTATAACAAGGGTAGCATTCAGAAGCCTTGCCACTGTGACCAGATCGCAGATCTAGCACATTCAAAAAGCTGATTAGAATACGTATATTGAGCAAGAACGAAAAAATATTTAATAGAGGAATCGAGATTACCGAGGTTCTGATATTCTCAAAGCCACCATGAATTTTAGCATAAACGAAACCATTGCTCTTCCCATTAGGAACTGAAAACAGAGAAGTCAAAAAAAATCAAATGGTGTAGTAGTGTGGCGGAAGCTCGTCGATTTTCTCATCACACAGAGGCATCATTTAAACAGAAAACCAACTTCTCATCAACATATCATTTCTTGAACAAGTTTCATGCATGAACTGTGTAACATTAACACAAGTAATAACATGATTCATCCCTCATGCTTGCAATAGTATCACAATGCAAACTATTTGTCTGAATTCAAATGGCAACAACTCAAGCGCACGTACCAAGATACGGTATACTTCTCGGGTTTGCGTACGGCTGCAAGGGTTCCAATGCATTCACCTTTCCCCATAACCTCCGATATCCAGCACCCTAATCAGAACCCACAAATATTATCCACACATTAACAAATTATAAAGAATCTCTCAATCTCTTATCCAAAATACCAAATTCAATATACGAAACTTTCATCGAACAACTCCGTTGTTTACCTTTCTGCCTGAGTTGTCAATGTGATTCAGATCCTCGGTAAAAGCTGTGATAGCACCATACTGCACAAGGCTAGCACTCGACTTTGCAAGAAACAAATGCACCATTATCGAAGCAAACGACAGCACCAGTCCACCTAGCGCCGCCCATTTTATCTTCGATTTCATTCTAATCCTTTCGAACCACACCATATCGATCTCCGACTCCCCTCCTACCCAACCAATCTGCAATGCGCATTCAGTTCCGATTTCCGACACATGTACTTAATTTAAATAGTGTCCCCACCAATTGGAAAATCACAAATCCCAACCCCCACAAACTCATCAATCAAACGAGCAAAAAATAGCAGGGAAAAAAAAAAAAAAAAAAGAAGAGTGAGATTACTACCGAGAGAAGGGGTTAGCGCCAAACAACAGCATCAGCAGAAAACACCTCGAAATCTGACCAACGGCTACGATTCACCGCATACAGTAGTTCAAAATCACCAGATCGTGGAAGGGAGCTACACGAAGTTGAACAGCCAATTCAACAGAGAGAAAGAGGGGGATCCATTTCCAATGCGGATTCAACCCGGAAATAAACTGGGTTTCGTTGAAATCACGAAACCCTTTCTCTATTTGTTTTATTGGATCGATGTGTGAAAGAAAATAAAAAAATCTGAGAATTCCAGTACTCGATACTGTTTGATCAGGATTCTCGAATCCCACAATTACAGAAAAAAATATAATTTATATATATTAAGGGTGGGAATTTGATTTTGATTTCAGAAGAGCAGGGAATTGGGAAAGTGTAGAGGGTTTAAAGATTTACGTATGAAGATCTGGTAACGAAATTGTGAAACGCCAGTCGTCAATTGCGATCATTCGTTTTTTCTGGTTTTCCTTCTTCGTTTTATTATTTTATTATTTTATAATAATTTCAGTTTTTGTTAATAATTTTATATAAAAAGGAAAAAGAAAATAAAATATTCAGTAAATTACGAATACACCCCTGAACTTATGCCAAATAACGAAAAACACCTCGTAATTGCCAAAATAACGAACTTAGGGGCATACTGGTTATTATGAATAAGTGGTGGTGTTTTTCGTTATTTAGCCTAAGTTCATGGGGTTTTCTTAATTTACCCTAAAATATATGAGTTGCACCCTGATACTATTACTAGTGTCGCAAATACCTCATGTACTAGAAAATGCGACAAAGTGACCTATGTTCTTAAGTCATGTTAAAACAAGATGTTGGACGAAAATACCCCTTCGATTGTGTATAAAAGGTGTTCCTATTTATTTCTCTCTTGTACTCAATTTATTCCCAATTTTTTTTTCTAGTTTTATTTTACACAGCCCAAAAATTCCACCCAAATTTTCTGAAAAAAAAAATTATATGCTGAAAATTATTTATAAAATTGTTGGAACGTGCAAAAACTATTTCACGGTCAAAATCAACAAAAACTGTGTGTTATAGTAGACAAATTTGGGTAAAATTCGTGGAATGTTCAAAAAACTTTTTCACGATCTAAATCACCAAAACATATATGCTATAATACACAAATTTTAGGTAAAATTGGTGGAAAGTTCCAAAAAATTCCACAATCAAAATTACCAAAAACTGTATACTAGAAGAGTACACAAATAGGTGCAACGTCCAAAAACCTGTAAAATTGGTGCAACGTCCAAAAAACTATTTTTCGATTAAAGTCAACACAGATTTTGGGTAAAACTGGTAGAACGTCCAAAAAACCTTTTTACGATCAATATCACTAAAAATTGTATACTATATAGTAGACATGGCCACGGGGCGGGTCGGGTCGGGTCCGGGTCGGACCCGCCGGGTCCGGGTCCGACTTTTGGAGGACCCGAAACCGACCCGCGGGGAGGCGGGTCCGGGTCCGGGGCGGGTCCACCCGGGTCCGGGCCAGGTCTACCCGGTTTTTCAATTTTTTTTTTTTTAAATAATTACAATTAAGAAAAAAAATTAAATTGAAACTTGAAAAAACTTGAGATTAACTTTAAATTCAAAATTACAAAAGAAAATTTAAATTTAAACACAAACAATTTTAGAAAAAAATGAAACAATTAGAACCTTGAGACATAAACTAAATAAAATGAAACTTGCGAAGATTGGATGATCGGTATTTATAAATGAAAATAATAATTGAGAAATTTTTCATAATTCAAAAAAAAAATCAAAATTCAATCTTTCCTTTAAATTAAATTGTAATTTTTTTATGTTTTTCTAAATTAAATATATATGCATTTGTTATTAGTGGAGATTTTTAATATTAATAATAGTGAACATGTCAATTAATAATGTATTAAACATTAGTTATACAATTACTATAATTATTTTACAATGTTATTTATATTTATATATTTATAGTTAGGATTATTATAACAAGTAGTATATATAACGAAACAAAAAGTGTAAAAATGATTATAATAAATAATGTTAAATAGATTATTAATTATCATATTTATTATTATTAAATAATTTTAATTAAATTAAAAACAAGATAATATAATAAAAAAATAAGATGAATTGAAAGGACTTGAGCTTAATCTATTTAAATCTTACGATTCGATTCTCATATTTGAATAAAATGTATATGTAAAAAAATGATTAAATCATATGATATTTGATTCTCTATAATTTTAAAAAGTTTTTTATTGCATGTGTTGATAATTTAATTAAAATTATTTAATAATAATTAATATGAAAAATAATTAATAATGTATTTAACATATTTATATATCATTTAAATCATTTTACACACACGTTTCTGTTATATATATTTATTGTCTACAATTTATCAAACTTGTTGGTTGGCCCAATGGTCAGTATTGCTCCATAGCTCGACTTTTGCACGAGTTCGAACCCGAGGACCCGGGTCAACGGTCAACGGGGCGGGGGCGGGCCGGGGCGTTGCGTATCCCGGGTCAGGTCCGGGCCGGGTCCGGGTCAAACCCGGCCCGTGGCCGTGTCTACTATATAGTACACAGATTTTAGTTAAAAGTGGTACAACATCCAAAAAACTTTTTTACGATCTAAATCACCAAAAACTGTAGACTATGTACACAAATTTTAGTTAAAATTACTTTTTTACGATCTAAATCACCAAAAACTGTAGACTATGTACACAAATTTTAGTTAAAATTGGTGGAACGTGCATCAAAATCACAAAAAACTATATACTTTAGTAAACAAATTTTAGTTAAAATTGGTGCAACTTTCAAAAAACTATTTCACGATCAAAATCACCAAAAACTCTACATTAGTACACAAATTTTGGGTAAAATTGGTGGAACTTCCAAAAAACTAAAAAATTGTACACAATAATAGTACACAAATTTTTGGTAAAATTGGTAGAACGTCCAAAAAACCTTTTTCACAGTCAAAATCACCAAAAACTGTATCCTATATAGTACACAAATTTTTGATAAAATTGGTGAATCGTCCAAAAAAAACTTTTTCATGATCAGATCACCAAAATTGTATATTATAGTACACTTATTTTGGTTAGAATTAGTGGAACATCCGAAAAAAAAATTCACGATCAAAATCACCAAAGCCTTAGCGCTATAGTACAAAGATTTTGGATAAAATTTGTGGAACGTCCAAAATACTTTTTCACGATCAAAATCACCTTTAACTATACGCTATAGTACACAGATTTTGGCTAAAATTGGTGGAACGTCCAAAAAACTTTTTCACGATCACAATCACTAAAAACTATATACTATAGCACATATATTTTTGGTAAAATTGGTGGAAAGTCCCAAAAAAAACCACGATCAAAATCACCAAAAATAGTATACTATAAAACACAACTTTTGGATAGAATTGGTGGAACGTCCAAAAAACTCTTTCACGATCAAAATCACCATAAATTGATTCCAGTTTAATCAAAAATGTGTATTATAGTAGACTGTTTTTTGTGATTTTTATCGTGAAATAGTATTTCGGACGTTGCACCAATTAAAAAAAAATTTATGTACTATGGTATACAGTTTTTTGTTATTTTGATCGTAAAAAGTTTTTACACACACTACACCAAAAACACACACTAAAAAAAACAAACACACTACATCAAAAACACACACTATAGACAATTACACACACTACACCGAAAAAAAGCACTAAAAAAATATACAAATACTACACCGAAAACACACTAAAAAATACACATACTACACCGAAAAAATACACAATAAAAAATATACAAACATTACACCGAAAACACACACTAAAAAATATTACACTCACTACGCTACGCCGAAAACACACACTAAAAAGAATTACACACACCACACCGAAAACACTCATTAAAAAATATACACACACAACACCGAAAATACACACTAGAAAAAATTACACATAGTACACCAAAAATACACACTACACCGAAAACACACAATAAAAAAAGTACACACTACACTGAAAACACACACTAAAAAAATATATGCACACTACACCGAAAACACACATTAAAAAAATTACATACACTACACCGTAAAAGAACACTAAAAAAGTTGCACACACTACACCGAAAACACACACTACAAAAAGATACACTCAAGACATCAAAAACACACACTTAAAAAATATATACACATGACACCGAAAACACACTACAAAATACACTAACACTAAACCGAAAACACACACTAAAAAAATATACACACACTACAACGGAAACACGCACTAAATACAATTACACACACTACACCGAAAACAAACACTAAAAAAATTATACACACTACACTGAAAACACACACTAGAAAAATACACACACGACACCGAAAACACACACTTATAAAATATACACACACTATACCAAAAATGCACACTAAAAAATATACACTCACCGAAAACTCACACTAACAAAAATAAACATAGGACACCGAAAACACGCACTAAAAAGAATTACACACACTTATGTATTTTTTTTAGTGTGTATATTTTTTATTGATTGTCTCGGTGTAGCGTGTGTATATTTTTTTAGATTGTGTTTTCGGTGTAGTGAGTGTAATTATTTTTAGTGTGCGTTTTCGGTGTAGTGTGTGTAATTCTTTTTAGTGTGTTTTTTGTGCAGTGTGTGTATCTTTTTTTAATGTGTGTTTCCGGTGTTGTGTGTGTAAAAACTTTTTTCACGATTAAAATCAACAAAAACTGTATACTAGAGTACGCATATTTTAG